TTGTCTGTGTTACAAGGTGTAAAGTTGAGTAAGATGCAAAGCCCGACCACGGCAGAAGATAGAAAGAGAATGAAAGTCATTCCCTATGCCTCAATCATAGGTTCTATAAAGTATGCTATGATGTGTACCAGACCTATTGTGTACCTTGCCATGAGTTTGGCAAGGGGGAACAATAGTGATCTAGGATTAGATCACTGGACAACGGTCAAAATTATCCTTAGTAAGGACTAAGGAAATGTTTCTCGGTTATGGGGGTGATAAAGAGTTCGTCGTAAAGATTTACGTCGATGCAAGCTTTTACACCAATCCAGATGACTCTAAGTCTCAATCTAGATACATATTGAAAGTGGGAGAAATTAGCTAGAGTAGATCCATGCAGAGCATTGTAGACATAGAATATTTGCAAAATACATACGGCTCTGAATGTGTCAGACCTATTGACTAAACTTCTCTCACGAGCAAAACATGATCACACCTTAGTACTCTTTGGGTGTTAATCACATAGCTATGTGAACTAGATTATTGACTCTAGTAAAACCTTTGGGTGTTGGTCACACGGCGATGTGAACTATGGGTGTTAATCACATACAGATGTGAACTATTGATGTTAAATCACATGGCGATGTGAACTAGATTATTGACTCTAGTGCAAGTGGGAAACTGAAGGAAATATGCCCTAGAGGCAATAATAAAGTTATCATTTATTTCCTTATTTCATGATAAATGTTTATTATTCATGCTAGAATTGTATTAACCAGAAACTTAGTACATATGTGAATACATAGACAAAACATATTGTCCCTAGTATGCCTCTACTAGACTAGCTCGTCAATCAAACATGGTTATGTTTCCTAACCATAGACATGTGTTGTCATTTGATGAATGGTATCACATCATTAGGAGAATGATGCCATGGACATGACCCATCCGTTAGCTTAGCATTATGATCGTTACAGTTTCATTGCTATTGCTTTCTTCATGACTTATACATGTTCCTTAGACTATGAGATTATGCAACTCCCGAATACCGGAAGAACACTTTGTGTGCTACCAAATGTCACAAAGTAAAAGGGTGATTATAAAGGTTATCTACAGGTGTCTCCGAAGGTGTTTGTTGGGTTGGCATAGATCGAGATTAGGCTTTGTCACTCTGTGTTTCAGAGAGGTATCTCTGGGCCCTCTCGGTAATGCTCATCACTATAAGCCTTGCAAGCAATGTGACTAATGAGTTAGTTGCAGGATGAAGCATTACGGAACGAGTGAAGAGACTTGCCGGTAACGAGATTGAACTAGGTATGATGATAACCGACGATCGAATCTTGGGCAAGTAACATACCGATGACAAAGGGAACAATGTATGTTGTTATGCGGTTTGACCGATAAAGATCTTCGTAGAATATGTAGGAGCAAATATGAGCATCCAGGCTCCGCTATTGGTTATTGACTGGAGATGTGTCTCGGTCATGTCTACATAGTTCTCGAACTGTAGGGTCCGCACACTTAACGTTTGATGATGATTTGTATTATGAGTTATGTGTTTTGATGACCGAAGTTTGTTCGGAGTCCCAAATGAGATCACGGACATGACGAGGAGTCTCGAAATGGTCGAGACATAAAGATTCATATATTGGAAGGCTATATTCGGATACTAGAATGGTTCGGGTCGTTTCGGATAAGTTTCGGAGTACTGGGGGTTACCGGAACCCTCAGCGGGAAGTTATTGGGCCTCATGGGCCTAGTGGTGGAAGAGAGAAGGCAGGCCAAGGAGTGGCGCCCCCTAGCCCAAACCGAATTGGACTAGGGTTGGGGGCGGGGCCCCCCTTTCCTTCTCTTCTCCTCCTCCTTCCCTCTTTCTCCTACTAGGAATAGAAAAGAGGAGGGGAATCCTACTTGGACTGGGGAGTCCTAGTAGGATTCCCCACACCTGGCGCGCCCCCTTGGGCTGGCCACCTCTTCCCTCCCCTCCTTTATATACGTGGCCAGGGGCACCCCATAGACACACAAGTTGATTTTTTAGCCGTGTGCGGTGCCCCCCTCCATAGTTACACACCTCGGTCATATCGTCATAGTGCTTAGGCAAAGCCCTGCATCGGTAACTTCATCATCATCGTCACCACGTCGTCGTGCTAACGAAATTCTCCCTCGGCCTCAACTAGATCAAGAGTACGAGGGACGTCATCGAGCTAAATGTGTTCTGAACGCGGAGGTGTCGTACGTTTGGTACTTGGATCGGTTGGATCGCGAAGACGTTCGACTACATCAACCGCGTTATTGAAACGCTCCCGCTTTCGGTCTATGAGGGTACGTGGACACACTCTCCCCTCTCGTTGCTATGCATCACCTTTTTTTAGAAAAGGAGGATGACCCCCAGCCTCTGCATCTGGGCGATGCATACGGCCACTTTATTAATTATTCTCACAAGACCTTACAAAACCAATACAACACTAAGACTAAAGCCGCCATCTAAGCAACAAACTGTCGCTACACCTATCCAGTTGATGAAGGGGCACGGATAGCCTGGGCCTAATACCAAATAGACATTGCAGCCAAGCCTAACATCTAAGACATGAGACCCCAACCTAGCCACTTGCCGGGTCTGGGGCACACACTGGTCCGGCGTGCTCTCAGAGGCCGCCACCACCAACTGCCACCGCTCCATCTTCAGAACTGTACTGATGCATCAACCTTGATCGGTCCAGCTATCGTCGACGCCGCCACGGCGCCCAACGACACCTCCTCCCTGCGCGCAAATAGCTGAACACGTCGCGGCCGCCACTGATACACCTCAGCGCCATGCTGCCAAGTATCACCAGCCGACACAGCTTGAAGTCCTTGGAGGATCTGTCGTGTGTAGCACATGCCGACCAGGCATGACCAAGTGTAGCACCTGTCGGTCAGGCATGACTTGACATCTCCACCGAAGCTCCGTGTAAGACGAAGCCGCTCCACCTCCTACCTCTGACTTCTAGCGCTGCTCCACAAATGATGCTCCTAAGAGAGAAACGACACCGCAGTGCCGCCATCGTCCGATCTGGAACACCAGTCCTAGGGTTTCCCCCGGAGCAGCACGAGTGGGACGACAATAGTTACACGATGATGCCTTCATCAAGGTAACGGCGTAGAACGCCGCCATCGCCTGCCGTTGGCTCGGTTTTCACCGGCAACCATGTCTCATGCAACTCGCAGCTGGGACTAGATGATGGATCTCGAGATCCGATCACCAAGCTTCTGGTCGGCCACCACCGATGAAGAAGATGACCACCACCACTGGATACACCGGCCAGAACAGATCTGCCATGGGTGCCGCCAAGCAGTCCACAAGGCCCTCGACGCTGTCGTCGATCTAAAGCCAGATGACATGCCGCCGAAGACCGCATCGCACCGCCGCCCGATCCAGGCCAGCCGCCGCAGCAGCCGTCCGTGGCCCGAGGCAGGGCCGACCGCCGCCGTCATCGAAGCCATCGTCGTCGCTTCTAGATCGGACGCACCTCCACGCATGTTGGGGGCCCGCCACCCCTGAGACACGGGAGGAAGGAAGAGCCCCCGCCACCGCCGCCGGCCTCCGGGTGCAAGCCGGCGGCGTCCTCCGGCGGCGGCGGGAGGAGGGGAGGAGGATGGGCTAGGCCCCGGTGGCGGCTAGGGTTGGGGAGCCCGAGTCGCCCGAGCGGGGGACGACCCGAGCGACCCGAGCAAGTATGTTCTCTAAAATCCTCAATTCACTTAATGGGAGAGATTTTCACTTCCCGGCCTCTGCATCAACCAGGGATGCATACGACCATTTTAGTATGAGTACCAAGATAAACTTGGTCCTCAGAATTTCTTTTAAATGAGTATCAAGATATTTCTTGATGAGCGGTACCACCACACACCAAGCTTGATCCTCAATAAACGGGGGGAAACCCCTGTGCATCATCTGTCAATTCTAGGAATTGAACTCGGGTCGCTAGGCTGCACAACCGCATGCCCAACCACTGAGCCAAGGCTCTAGATAGATCTTGCGTGATCGTAGGATTTTTTTTAAAATTACTGCGTTCCCCTACAGGTTGGACAAAGCCGGGCCTTTGTGTGGTCGCGGGGTTGTCTAGTTGCAGGGCGGCGACTCTGACGGAGGGAGGCGCAGTGTTTGGGGGCGGACCGTGCGTCTCAGGTGTGGGCGGGCAACCATGCCCACACTGGTGTTGTGGTTGCAGGTGGTTGACGGAGTTAGGGTGCGATGAAGGGGTGTGAGCGTCGGGGTACACCACTAGGCTGGCCCTTTGACTAGCCGACGGTGGCAGCGGCCGTTGACATCGTATCCTTTCTGAAGGCTTCGTCACGGCGTTTCCACTCCTGTCGTCTTACTCCCGGTGAAAACCTGATCTTCGAGATCGGGCGGTGGCGGCTATCCATGGTTGTACCCTTCTGGGAGGCACCGTTTGGGAGTCATGGCTTCATTGTTGTTCGGCTCACCTCTCTATTGTCGCTCCAAGCGGTTTTGCTTTGTTTTCGGTGGGGTGGGGTGCCCGGCCCTTTGTATTGTACCTTGGGCGTGTGTTGTGTGCAGTGGTGGTGTGTGTTTGTATCGGTCTCTCAGTTTTAATTGATAATGATTGCTTTATAATATAAGCGGAGGACCCTTTTTCGACAGCCATGTGCATAACATGGTTTTCAGCCTGTATTTGCTTAGTCTGTGCCAGATGAGACACATATACAAGGAGTCCAAAAATACATTGCAGGCTTCCAAACACGCCCTCAAAGATTCTGTAGTATCGTATTTCCCAGAGGCAATATTCGTAATCATGGTGTTCATTACATTTTACATTTATACCACCTCACAGATAAAACAAATCATGCTTTTGGTATCCCCTATTTCACCTTTGTACCCCACTTGCAATGAATTCAATCAAATGAAAATATACACGTATGAACCATTGGAACTATATGGAAGAACTACTTTCCCTTCTCCAGTTTAGTGTGCTATTCTCAGACGCTCTACAAGTGCAACAGCAGAGGTGGAATGCTCACGAGGACTGAACAATCGGTTGGTCTGCGAAAGGGCCATATAGCCAACCCCTGGCGATATGACCGTAAGCAGCCTCCGTCAAGTGAATACCGTCCCAGCTCCAATGGGTCGTTGGGTCAGCACAAGCAGTGGCACCAGGCTCCCCGCATTTGGCTGTCACGTTGAAGTTGTAAGCGGCTTTGGCAACGGACCCAGGAGCCCCACAGCATGCCCTAGGTAACTGCTTGTAGAATCCTGAATTATAAAGAGGAAATGGTTAGGCCCCTGCATTGTGCCATTCTCATCAACAATAAAGCATCCGCATACTTCCGAATTAGTAGTTGAGACAGAAACATCGTCCCTGCCAGCAAGATTAGGTTGGCAAAGGCATGCATGCCCTGAGAAAGTACAGGATGTACTTTCTGTTACAAGGCAACACTGAAATGGAAACTCTAGAGGACGAGTACATGGGATCTAGATATGGCAGGGACATGTATTGACAAAATGCGCTACCATCCAGTACTCTAAACTAATGAAGATCTTCTTCGAAAAGAGAAAACTAATAAGAGAAAGATACAAGCATAAATCGTAACAAAGGTTAATTGCCAATAAGTTAAGCAAGCAAACAGATGAAGGCATACATTGGGAGAAGTATACACAATAAAAAGGAAGTGATTTTCTAATACAAAAAAACACGTGTTTACAGTTCATGGAGTATATATGCGTGTTGAGTTAAGGTTATAAGGATATTACAGTAACCTGTACAACTCATACGCCAGCATTTTACTGTACTAGAACACTAAATGCAAAAAACGTGAGTCCTTCAGTCTAGGTGGGAGTACGGGCAGGTTGTGTAAGTTCTGATTGGAGTAGATGATCTAACCATCCCAACTATTAGCCCCACATGACCACTAAACAAGATAGCTACCAAGTGGACAAGCTTTGAAGTACTAATTGAAGTGATAGCTAGTACCCCTTTACAGACTAGATAAATGATCCTAGAGCATCGGATTAGTAACCTTTGCTTCTAATATACTCTGAACATGGGTGAAGGTGCTTGAGTTGATATTCTGGCTGCAAGTTGTGTTCGCCATTTTTGTATTATATGCTATGTGCTCCAATCCAGGCGAAAGCATCTCTTGCTCTCTGCCCAGATCTGAACTATCTAATTATTTATAGTATTGTGTTCTTTTCAAGGCGAACGGAAGGAAATCGCTGACTGCCTAACAGTTGACTTTACACCAGACAAAAGTAAGCACATGCACACTAATTAAGATCCATCTACAGTAATTAGTAGCACATCAGTAAGAACATATGCATACAACCAGACCAATTTGTAAATCACTAAATTCTGATGCTTAATGAGTTAGCTATGGCAAAAGTTCAGGTGTTTGAGAACTAACCAAACTTCTCAGGCTGGAGCATGAACTGGACAACTGGCGTGTAGTAGTCGCCATATATGATCCGCACATTGGGGTACTTGGGCCGGAGCTTCTCGAGTGCTCTCTTGAGGTGTGCGTTGTGCACCCATGAGAAGGTGTTGTACTGACGGATGCACCCGCTCCGGGCGCCATACTCGTGGGCTGGCATGTCGAGCATGTTCAGGTACACGGGGAAGCACCCAGTGGGCATCACCCCTGGCACGATGAGATCCACTGCCCCCTCGGCGATCAATTCCTGCACCATTACCGTACATGAGCAATCGTGGTTGACAGCGAGGAAACAGATATGTGAGTAACAAAGAAGAAGCAATGGCTACCTCGACGCCATCGGAGATGCCCTGGATGACATCCGGCATGAACTTGTACGCCTCTGTGAGGCCCTTCCCGGCAAACAGGGGCGCGTTGTAGTCGTTGCCACCGAACTCGCCGACGACGAACAGCGAGTTGGCATAGAACTCCTTGCATTCTTCTGCAAAAACATACAAAATTCCCAATCACTTCATCGCAATCCACCACCTATACATATATAGCTGCAAAGGCGGGATTCCTTTTGACGTTTGCTTACCCTTGGTGGAGTTGCAGAAGAAAGGCTTGAGGTCACGGAACCACTGGATTTGGGTCATGAGGGCGCCGGAGTTCCAGACGACGGCGCCGAGGCCCCTGGCCTCGAAGTAGGGCGTGTCGAGCGCGGTGGCGCCGGTGATGGCGAAGTTGGCACCGTGACTTAAGTCGGAGCGATTGGCTTTGGACGGCGGCAGCAGGGGCAGCCCGAATTCCTGCGCTGCAGTTGCGGTGGCCGATCGAGCAAGCGCGTCAGTTGAGGACCCACAGAATCTCGGAGGAAGAGGAAGCAAGCGAGAAGCAACCAAATCAAAATGAAACACGGCAGGCAGTCAACTCACCCAGGTGGTCGATGACGAGGCGGCCGTCGGAGCAGCGGCCGGTGGGCTTGCCGAAGTAGGTCTGGCCGTAGGGCAGCCTGGCGGTGGCGAGGATGTCCGGCACGCCGTTGGCGATGAGGTTGCCGGCGTCGGCCAGCGAGTCCCCGAAGTTGAACAGCGCCCGGTACTTCCCCTTGGCCTTCCCCTTGGCCTTGGCAGCGTCCGCCTCCCCGGCCGCCGCCGCCGCGAGGACGACCGCGAGGAGAACCACGAGCGCCTCCCTTCTCCCCATGCCGGCCGCTCCTTGTGCGTGTGCGGGTCGGTCGGTTCCACGCGGGGCGGGAGAGAGGAGGAAGAGAAGCAGGAGACGGAAGACGAGGCAGGTGGGTCGAACCGCTCGCTCGGTCGTCGCTGTTTGTAGGCGAGGAGAGGAGGGACGCGCTGCTGCCTGCTGGCGTGGCCTGGCCGGCCGGTGGCGGCTGCTCGTGTGGCGCTTTCCCTGGTTGCCGAATTTTAAAATCACACCAGCAGGAAAATGACAGTGCGCCATCACCCACCAACCACGAACCAGTCGTGTTCCGTTCCCGTTCCCGTTCCCGTTCCCGTTCCGAAAGAGAGAAAAATAGAAGCTGGTGACACCAAATGGGTCAAATACAAATCTGGTTGGGTTTGGTACGGAATATTAGGTTAGGTGGATAATACTTTTCTCTACCGCCCGCGATGCACGGTGACATAACATGGGATCAGAAAAGAAATGGATCCTCCTAATCTCTCGCATGCAACGGTAGGTGAGAAGTCAGCAGCCAGCCAGCGCCAAAGACCAAACGCTTCCAAAGCAAAGCAAGTTGGTCTAATTATAGTATAACACTAGCCATATAAAAATACGGGGAACGTTCCTACTCCACCCCACCGACTGAGTTCTCACGCCGCGCCGTCCGATCTCCGAGGGCTCGATCGGAGCGCATGCGCGGGGTTTGTGCCACGCATGTGCCTGGTCCCCGGGCTGCCCACCTTGTCCATTTTCTCGTTTCTGTTTTCGGGCTGCTTCTCTTTCCACGCGGGTCGCTACCGCATCGTTGCACTACACTAGTAGTATAACCACGACAAGCCGTAGCCGTTGCACTACATACACTTGTATTTTTCTTTTTGTGGGTACATAGACTAGTATACTACTAGGCCATGGCGAGTTGTTGTGAGCCGTTAGATCCATCGACGGCGACAGTCTGCCGGCAAGGCAAGTGACTGAAAATGACGGTGGTGTTGGCCATTTTTTAAAAACTCCGATGTTGCATAGGTTGTTTGGACATATTGCAACTAAGTATGATTTTATTTTATTTTGTGTCGCATGCGGCTAATATGTTGTACTAATAGTTACTCCTACTCGCTAACTTTTTTTGTAATTTTTTTTGCTAGTGCTGCAAAGTGATTTTATCATTGTGTTCTTTCACGCTTGATCTGTTAACCTTGTTATTGCTTTTTTTTTCTTTGCGGGGTATTAACCTTGTTATTGTTGTATATGTTGAAACCATTTTTAAATACTTTGTTGCATCGAAGAAGGATTTATTGTATACATACACTTAATTACAATTTTTTGTTCGTCAACCTATAGCCGCTTCAAAAATGATGGATCGTCCGTGGAAGCAAATAAGTACGTATTATTTTTTAAACAAGGTAAAATATTTGCCATTTTCATTGATTAAGAAGAAGAGTTTGAGGGACAAAACCCGCAACAGAGGAAGCAAAACATCTAGCTACTCTCGCAGCACAATATTATACAGCCGCTTAGCCCCAGCTAAGGCCCGGATACAAGCTACGGCCTTGATGATGCGCACAATCACCGCCACCGGCGACGCCTTGGCCCTGAATACGCGTGCATTTCGCTCCTTCCAAATCTCCCAACTAACAAGATGAAACAATGAGGCTAGAGCCATCCTTGGCTGAGCATTGTTGGTGAGGACGCCTTCCCACCAAGATTTAACTATGTCGAATTAATTGGTGCCAAGACGCAGTGCTGACATGCAGATCAAGCCACGAGATCACATCATTCCAAACATGCATAGAGAAACGACATCTGAAGAGGAGGTGGGCTGCCGACTCGCGCGCCTGGTTGCACAGCAAGCATTGGTCGCAGTTTGGCCATCCAGGGCGTTGAAGTCTATCTGCGGTTCAAATTCTATTATGTGTGACCAAGCAAGCAAAAAAGTATTGTAACAATTCACCCAATTTCAACCGGTTCTACAACAAATTAAATTTGAAGAAAAATAGAAATAGTAATTTAACAACATCTAAAAGACCGAGTAGAGTGGACGTCACTATACTGCTGCAAGCCGGGATGCGCATGTTGAAATTATTGGCGTTTAGCTCATTTATTATTTTCAATAATTCCTGAAAAATTCAGAGGCATGTATGGCTCATTTATGCATGATAAAAAGGGTGTGGAAAGTTTAGTAGTCCCAATTGTGAAGGGTATATTGAACCAACATATAATGTTGGTTTCTTTACATGCCACTAAGAACTTAAGAAGATGACATATACGCGCGTTCCTCCTTCAGCGCTAGCCTCGCCATTGCCACGCCTCACAGACATTTCATATTTCGTGAACGAGTTGAGTCAGGCTATGAGTTATGCCACGGGAACGAGCTGCTACAAACCGGAAGCATGGCACTGTGAAGCGTCGTCGCTGCTGCATGTCGAGGGCAAGCGATGGGCTACAGACGAATCGCCCGTATCAGAAAAGAAATCAATCCCCATGTTTCCCTCTAATAATCTCTTGCAACGGTAGGTGACAGGTCTGCAGCTACCCAGCACCAAACCAAACCAAACCCTTCCAAAGCAAGTTGGTCTAACCATAAAAAAACATTGTGTAAGGAAGTGGTTTCCTCCCGAAACGTTGTTGTCATTTGTCAAGCTGTCAGTTGTTAGAGAAAAAAAATACAGGCTCTGGTTTTTCTAGTTGTATTCGCATGTGCACCTCTTTCCAAGAAAGAAAAGCAAGACACAACCTAATCACGTAGCTGCGGTGTGGCAAATGATTGAGGCATGAAACAGATGCTTTTTAAGGGCCAAAGGTTGTGAGGTGATGATGATATCCTGGTGGCAGCAAAATCCCTCTCTTTCTCTCACACACTCACAAAAACTTTCATAACAAGATATGCACGTGTATGAATTGCAAAATTTGCATCTTAACAATAATTAGAAAAAGTTGTTAAAACTTATCAACACCACTTGCCAGGTATAGTTCTACAATCTTTAAACTTGGTAGGATCAGATTTTTGAGAGATTCTTGGGCCCGGCGATTAACGGGGATCCAACATCTATAATCCAGGGATGGCGTCGGGTAAGTGTTTAGGTACATCTTGCCAATTTTGACCAATCTACTCTGATTTGGCTCATGGCTCAAACTGATGCTTCATGAAGCTGCTCCGGCAGAGCTCTCCTTGATCCACGTCCTCTCAAAAATCCTCACCCGTCTCTCTCTCTCTCTCTCTCTC